AAAAGGAAAAGCCTGAATGTTTACTTGCTATAGGCGAAGACAAAAAGAAAGGGTTTTTTGGAGTGACCTTTTTAAGTTGAAAAAAAAACCCTTGACTTCTGATGCTGAGTTTCATTTTACACTACTTAGAAAGGAAATTTTTGGGAAAAAATTTTTCTTTACAATTGGACTGCAGAAATATTTTAAAATATACATGCACATGTAGAACAAGAATGAATGAACTGATAAGTCATCTACTTTCAGAAGTGTTCTCACACTCATGAAAAAATACTGTATTTCCTCAGTTGGCCCCCTTCCTCTGTTAAGAGTCCAACCTGCCCATTTATTTTTACATGATGAACATTCAGTAACCCTATCAGGGATAAAAGCAGAATTATACCCTCCAGTGCCCCCCCACCCCCTCCTGCCGTGTGAAGGATTTATTGACCCACCCATGGAATTCCTTCTTGACAACCTGTCGTAAAGTTTATCTGCAACCCTTCAACTACTGAAATTGAAGTTTTGTAGTTTTTTTCTTAGGGCAAGAAAGAATACAATGTAGAGATCTATGTACAAGATTACCATGTTGTAATAAGCTTCTCCCCTCCCCCAAATTACTCCCATGCCAATCTATTTTTGACTGTAATGATCTCAATGGCAGGGTGTTGTCTAGAATGGGAAAACCAATCAGGGGTACATGTACGCAGAGTCCAGTATCCCTTAACCCAATCACTTTCATTTTCCTGTTTTGATCCATATGGTGGGTGATCATAATTTATTACTAACAGTGTGGAAGTGAACCAGCAGCTCAGCACTCTCTAGCCATAAATTTCTAAGCCCTTCCAGATGAGGTCAAAAAGAACAGAAGTTCCTGGTGGTGTCAACGATAAGTACAGATTATCTGATTGTTTTGTACAATCCCCGAACTTTGAATTGGAAGTATTGATTACATCGAGTCCCCATTCTAATAAGGAGGTCTTTCCAACTCTACTTTTCAACCTACAAATTTCAGTTTTGACATGCTACATGTACAGTATATTACTGTTAAGCCCTTCTTCCAAAGAGTTTCCCCTTCTTACATTTTTTTTCCCCTTCTTAAATACATGTATGGGCAAAAATCAGGAAGTCCAACAGGGGTTTATAGGAGGAAATACAGTAAAAACATAAAA